TCGCTTTCAGCATTTGCTCTCCCACCTCAGCAGGAGTCTCCTCCTGCCTAGATCATTCTATCCGTCTTAAGAAAACACAGTACAACCAAGCCCAGCGGAAACTGTCACCCGGTCTCCCTCCCCAGCCCTTTGAGCCCACTCCAGTTGGCCGCCGGCCTGTCTGCACTGAGGTCATCGGTGGCCTCCACCTGCCCTAACAGTCACATTTCAGCCCTCTTGACGTGACCTTACAGCTGTCGCTTGTTCCTCTTGAAGATTCCGTCTAGGGACTGAAGCATGGAGACAGTTCCTGTCTGCCCCTCTGCCCTTCCCAGAGGGCAGCCCAGCCCTCCATTGCTGCCTCCTCTCATCTTCCTCACCTCTGGATTCCGGAGCTCCTTCGGGCTCCATTCTCAGCCTCTTCCCTGTTTACACTTCCCCTTGGGGGTTCCCATCCAATCCATGACTTCAAGGACCCAGATTCCCTCTCTAGCCTGGATTTTCCCTCTCGAGTTGATTTTGACTCTCAGTGACCCTATGGAACAGAGTAGAATTGCCTTTTGGGGGTTTATGAGGCTTTAAATCTTTTTAGGAGTAGACAGTATGATTGTTCACCCGAGAAGCAGTGAATGGGTTTGAACCACTGACCTTGTGGTTAGCTGCACAAAGCACAATCCACTACACCACTGGAGTGCCTCCTCTAGGTGCATATATTTAACGGCTACTCAATATCTTCACGTAGCCATATAGTTGATATTTTAAACGTACAATGTCCAGAACTTGAATCATGGCATTAACCTAGGTGCCCTTTCTACTTCCACCTGGTGCCCGCTCCAGGCCTTCCTCAGGTACCAGTCAGTGTGACCCTTTGACATGTTCTGTGGTGACGCAGGACAGCGTCGCTGGGGGTGGCAGAGGAGGGCCTGGGAGCTCTTGGTTCTATTTTGAGAACGTTTGACGAGTCAAACATTGTCCACATTAATTTGTGGTGGTTGTGGGGCCAGCGAGTTGGTTCCGACCCATAACGATCCTATATGCCACAGACCGGAACATGGCCTCGCCCTGCACACCCGCACAACTCTTCCTGTGTTGAAGCCCACTGCCTCAGCCACTGTGTCAACCCATTGGGCAACCAGTGATGCCTTCCCCCTTTTCTCCGCGAGCCACTTTACCAAGCACAGTGTCCTTCTCCAGGGCCTGGTCCCTCCACAAGAACAGTTGTTAATCATTTGTAATTCTCCGTTACTCCAAATAAGGAGCTACTGAAAAAACAAATGACCCAGAGAACTCCCAAGCTCCTCTCAAAACAAAATTCGGATCACATCACTCCTTTACTGAAAACCTCCAATAGCGTCCCTCCTTCATCGGATGAGAGCCCAGTTCCCTAGCATGGGCTACAAGACCCAGGATGACATGGGTACTGCAGCCCTCTGCCCCTACTTCCCCATTTTGTGTTTTGCCCCTCCTCTGACCCAGAGTGCCCTAGCCTGGCTTCTCCTCACTCTTCCCAAGCCCACCTACCGGGCTCCAACCCCGGGCCTGGACAGCTGCTTCTGGTGAGCCTGCCCCAGAAACCGGTGTGACCCTCGCCTGCCTTTCCTGCATGTCCCTGCTTAAATTTCGCCTCCTCAGGATGCCCCTCCTGGTTGCCTTTCCACAACGGAAGCCCCCTTCCTCTCCTGTCTCCTTACTACTCTTTGAGCAGTTATTGCCAGATAGTGTAGGCTGGTCCGTTTGTTGCCTCGATCTGCGGGAGCCATCGGTCTGTCTTTTTCATTCATTCCCAGAACATCAACAGGAAGCACTCAGGTTTTGGTTGAGTGAATTGTTGATTCCAT